GGAGCCCCCTCCTTCTCCACGAGCCCCTCCTCCCTTCCCCTCCCCCTTCTCGCGCGGCGCCCCATGGCCTGCGAGCTGCTGAAGCGCTGCCGTCTGCTCAGACGACGCTACGCTCCCTGGGGCGTGCTCCTACCTGCCGGGCGCGGCCTCCAGCTGTCTCACCCGCTGAGCGACGCCTCCTCCAGGCCCTAGCACACAGTGCCAACCCAGTGGCCGCCGCTGCCCCCGCCGGGACCGAGGCAAGTTTACAAACACCAACCCCAGGCCTGCTTCCCCGGAAGCACTTCCCCCTCCCCCTCGTTCTCCCGTCTGGACAGCTATATCCACTTCCGGGCTCGGGAGCCCGGACGGGCGGGGACAGCCAGAAAGGGGGTGAGGCCGACGACTCCAGGAGTGGGGTGCAGCTAGTGAGTGGGCGGTGCCTTCGCGCAGAGAGACGGGACGAGGGAGGGCCGGCGGTATGGCGCGTGCGCCGTGGTGCGGGCGCGCCCCAGGCGGCCATCTTGACTGAGGGCAGGAACGAAGGCCTAGAAATGACTGTCCGCTAGGTGTTCATTGAAAGGTTTTGCTAAAGACTCATCGAAAAAGCGCCATCGCTCTACCTACCTTCGCGGACGTTCTCCCGGTCGCTTCTGAACCAGGAGCCCCAAATAGAGCCCCAAATAGAATAGTTCATACTCCGCCTTTTCACTTAACTCGGCCGAGGTTGTCTTTATATCAGGCCCAGATCTGCAGATTCTGGGGCCCCCCAGTCAGCTGGGAGAGGAATTAAACTTTTTAAAAAATGTATTGATTTTAGAGAGAGGAAGAGAGAGAGAGAGAGAAACATGATGTGAGTGAGACACATCCATGGCCTCCCTGACCGGGAATCGATCCCTCCACCTTTTGGTGTACAGGATGGCGTTCTAACCAACTGAGCCACACCGGCCAGGACGTGTCATCTTTCTTTGCACACTCCTGCCGTTTATACTCAACTACATTCTGAAAATGGGTGCCCCATGGGTGCACCCCGAGGCCAGTCTGGTTACATTGTACCTTTCTCCCCTTTATTCCAGACCCTCTGGCGTCTGACATTGGTCTCGCTTGGGAAAAACTTTAAGACTTCCCTCAGTAGGAAACCCCCCTCATTGGAGATGGCCAGGCAGGATAGCTCCTGGGCCTGGCTGCATTAGGAAAAAGGAAACAGAGCCTTTCTTCAAATTCTACTCCCAACGTTAGCTATTAGAGAGTGGTCCTGCTTAAGATGGACTATGCAAAGTGCACTTGATGGAAGGAAATTCCATTCCATTTAGGTCCTAGCTTCTGTGGTAGGTGCTGTCAGGTTGTGAGTTTAGGAGAATCAGTGGAGATAGTAATAGAAAAAAAAACTTTATTTATGAAAGAAGATAATTCCCAGCCACTTTTTGCACACGGGATTCATTTCCCTGATCATTCCATCATTTGAGCAAGTCCTTGTGCTCTTAGGATCATCATAAAATTGAGATAAAATGGACAAAGAGAACATCGTCATTGATGTTTCTATCTCTTTCTCTCCCTCTCCTTTCCTCTCTCTGAAATCAATAAAGATATATTAAAAAAAAAATTAGGTCATTTATTTTAACAAATTCACACAACCAAATAATAAAAGGCAAAAAACGTTTAGTTACCCTCTCTACTATCCCATGCTACTGAAGGTAGTCATTTTTATCAATTTGGTATATATACCTCCAGGCTTTTTCTATGTTCATACAAAAATATATTTTTTTCATTCAGAACGTATTTTTTGGGCATTGTTTTTGTAAAATACCTGTTCATCTTTTGCCCCTTAAGGAAAAAATTAGATCATTCGTCTATTTCTTATTGACTGGTAGGAATCTTCTCTATGTTATATTAACTTTTTATTTGTCATATGCATCTAAAATATTTTCTCTTGGATTTTCATTTATCTTTCAACTTTTTTTTTCAGAGCAAAAGTTAGGCTTTATGGAAAATATATGAAACATTCCTATATAGGAACAAGACAAGAATGTTTACCATCAAATTAAATATTCTACTACAGCTCCTGGCCACTCAAAAAATATCATCATTCTCACATAATATATTCATCTACAAAGAAAATTGATTGACAAAATAGTAAAACTAGTGAGTTCAGTAGCATGGTCAGATGTAAGATTAACAAACAAGTTATGTAATAAAATATAACAACAATAACCAAACATAAAAATGTCATAGAATAATCTCATTCACAATAAAAAAATCTGACATTTCTAGAAATAAATTTAACAAGAAACTGCAAGTCATATAGTATTTTTAAAAATCAGACTATTTTAGAGAAAGACCAAAAGGGCTTGGTTAAATGGAGAGTTTAACCATGTCCATTAGTAGGAAGACTTAATATCATAGAGACCGAAGTTAAATTCTAATTAAAACAGTACTTTTTCCCTCAATGGTTTTGCTCAGTTGTTAGAGCGTCGGCCCTTGGACTGAAGGGTCCTGGGAACGATTTCGGCCAAGGGCACATACCTCGGTTACCCTGGCCGGGTGCAGGAGGCAACCAATGGATGTGTCTCTCTCAGATTGATGTTCCTTTCTCTCTCTCCCTCTTCCATTCTTTCTGAAAAAGCAATGGAAAAAATACCCTCCAGTGAGGATTAAGAAAAAAACAAGGACTTTTCATGGAACTTAAACTTATTTTAAAATTTACATGGAAAGAAATAATTGCAAGGAGAGGAAAACCCATTTTGGAATACACTGAGTGGGTAGGATAATGAATGGGGAAAAATAAGGCCATCAGTTATCTTGAATCAATTTAATGGTGTCTTTCTTTACACAGACCTTTAAAAGTTTTACCTAGTGAAATTTGCCTGTGCCTTTTGGGTTTTTGTGACATGCTACCTCAAGATTATAAAAATATTTCCCTGTATTTCCTTCTGGTATTCTTATAGCTGTATATTTTTAGTTTATGTCTTTGTCTCAGCTGCAGTTTATTTTTGTGTATGGTAAGAGGTAATGAGAAATGCAGTACTTAAAAGGGACCAGTAATGTAGTGGCAGAGGTACTAGCTTAGAAGTCAGAAGTCAGCGACCTAGGCTTGCTCTCATATTACCTTCGTAATCTTAGACAAATGAATTCTGTCTGGTGCAAGAGCCCTCATCTTGAAAATGAGAATGAATAAATAAATAAATACCCTTTCAGGCTAATTTCTAGCATTACTGTGAGGAAATAATGAGAAGACTTTGAGAAAAAGAAAGAATCTTTTGCAAATTTTCTAAGTTTTCATTAATACAGATTTTTGGTTTATACAAATCAAATGTTAGTGGAGTGCAGTGTTACTTTTTTGTACTTAAAAATCATCGGTTGATTCACCAAATGTTTATTGAGCGCCTTGTGCAAGACCTTGGGGGAGGGGAGTGGAGAGTGGGGAAGATGAAAACTACCTCTTTTTTTTGAGTGCCTATTTTGTGTTTGGTACTTTTCTTAAAGAAGGATGAAAATTAGTCCTCTCCCCCCTGGAATTTACAATCTAGAAGGGTTCAAGGAAACACTGGGTCCTTAAAGAGAATAGGTGCTTCCCTATTAATGTGGATGTTGAGTCAGTAGACAGCATAGGATCAGCGTTTTCATTTTCTAACAATAAGCCTGACTGAAAGTGCTTTAAGAGGCTACTTTAATCCCTTTGCACACAGGCCGGCCCCCTCCTGTGTGACCTTCGTTGACTTCCTTGGTACACTCTTCTCTCAGGTCCACCCCATCATTTATTCAAACGGTATTGTAATGAATACCGATTAATGTTTTCCTACACCAGCTCTCTATAGCTTTAAGGAGAGCCTAAGTGTTGTTTTTTTTCTCTTTGGAGGCTACCCTGGGCCAATTGAGCAGCGTTCCCTGGCACTGCCTTTCCTTTCGACTCTGTGGTGAGCATGCCTTTATTTTACCTTCCAGTCTCCCTTCTCGCCTGTTAGCTGGCAACAAGTAAATACTCAGCCAGTGTTTGCTCAACTAGCTGAACCCAGTCCTCTCTCCCTGAGAGGCAGCTGGGCTGCATGATAAAAATGAGCAATATGTCATTCAGACCTTTTGGATGATAGTGGGCTGAAGAATTGTGAAATCACATGTACTGGGGTCATTCCTTGAGCAGGGCCCTTTGTATATTTTGGAACTCTTGTTGCCCCTTAGTTCCTCCTTAATCTTTTTTTGTTACTTAAAAATAACTTTTATTTTAATTATATAAGTAATATGAAATTATCATGTAAAATTATAGAATATATAAAAATATATAAAACTATAGAATATATAAATAAGAAAATGAAAATTATAATTCCAATACCCAGAAATAACCACAGTTAATATTTGGAAGACTTTCCACATCTTTTTCAGCCTTTTTGCATAGGGAGTGACTGCTGGTAGGAATGGGGTTTCTTTTTGAGATGACGAAAATGTTCTGGAATTTAAAAATGTGATTGATGCACAACTTTGTGAATAAATTTTTAAAACCCACTGAGTGTACACTTTAAAAGGGCGAACTTTATGATAAGCTGTTATTTTCTAAAAAATGCTTGTAGATGCATGCACACAGTATTGTCTTTTTTCTGAACTGAAAGTTACAATATTTATGTTCCTTTACTGCTATATGTTTCAGCAAATGTTTTCTAAGAATAAGAATGTTCTCTTAGCCCTGGCCGGTGTGGCTCAGTTGGTTGGGCATTGTCCCATGCACCAAAAGGTTGCTGGTTCAATTACCAGTCAGGGCACGTGCCTGGGTTGTGGGCTTGATCCCCGATAGGGGGTGTGCAGGAGGCAGCCAATCTTCTGCTCTCACATTGATGTTTCTCTCTCTCTCCCCCTTCCTCACTCTCTAAAAACCATTGGTGAAAAATATTTAAAAAGAATGTTCTCTTATATAACTACAATGCAGTGATCAAACTCAGGAAATTTAACACTGATAGAGTACTAATGTTTATGATGGCATTCATAGTCAGATTCCACCGGTTGTTCCAATAATGTTGTTCATAGCAGGTTTCTTCTTCCTTATGCAAGAGCTGATCTAGGATCGCACATTCCTTTTGGTTATAGTGTCTCTAGTTTCCTTCAGTCTGGAATAGTCCCTCAGTCTTTCTTTGATTTTTCATGAAATTGACATTTTTGAAGAGTACAGGCTAGTTATTTTGTAGACTGACCCTCAATATTACATAAGTGATGTTGAGTGTTTTTCAGTGCCTTCCGTCAGGAGGCCCATCATGTCAATCTGTCCCATTATTGGTGTTAGTGTTGATCACTTGGGTAAGGTGGTGTCCACCAAGTTTTTCCACCATTTTCCCTTTAAAGTGTTTTTAAGAAAAGAATATTACAACATAGCCCAGAGGGAAAAAGTGAAGCTTTAGCCAAGTTTTAGTGTTGTTCTGATGTTTTTGAGTGAGAGGGAGAAAGATGTAACATTTGAAGACTAAACAAACAAACAATATCAGTCAAGGATGAGGAGGCAGGAGATCCATTAGAATCTAGGTCTGAGTAACCAGTAGAAGACGGTGCCATTCGCTGAACCAGGGAACCCAAGAAGAGCATATTTGAGAGGGCTGATAATGAGTTCATTTTTCGACACTGTTGACTGTGAAGTGCCTGTGAGACCTCCGAGTTAGGTAGGTGGCTTCATGGATCTGGCCTTAGGAAAGAGGTCTGGGATGGAGGAGTCACCAGCATGCAGCCCTGAGAACAGATGTGATTGTCTAGGGAGAGCTGCAGAATACTGATGATAGAGGTCCTAGGATAGACCCTGAGGAACTCTAGCATTTAAGGGAGGGCCTGAGGAAGATGAAAAGGCAAAGGAAACTAAGAAATGGTCGGGGTAGTCATATGGAAACCAGGGGGAAAAATATTTCAAGATGGGATGGCAAAATATGTCAGTGGCTCCAGAGAAGTCAAATAGGATAAAGATGAGATGTGTCCATTGGACTTGGAGGCAGGGAATTTCTTGATGACTTTGAAGGTGGAAACCACATTGTGGTGGGCTGAGAAAAGCGTGAGAGGAGAGGAAGTGAAGACAGGAAGTGGAGACAACTCTTAAGAAGGTTGGCTGTGAAGGCGAGGTGGCTGGAGTGGTAACATATTGTGAGAGGTTTAAACAATTAAAAATGCTGTGAGAGGTAGTAGGAAGGAGACTTGAAGAAATGAGGGGATAATCAAGAGGCTGTCTCTGAGGGAAAAGGAGAGAAGCCTTTAGACCAGCAGTTCCAACTTAGATATCTACAGGGCCAGGCAGGTAATGCAAATGGGTGAGGTGGGCTGGTGTAGACTGAGGTGAAACTGAAAAATTCTAAGGGCCTGTACGCAGTGATCTTGTGACGGGATTTTACACCCTTACCTATTGCCTTGCTCTTTCCAGTGCATCTTCACCCCACTGTCCTAGGGCTTGCTTTGGTCAACAGGATACGAGCAGGTGTACTCGATGCCAGGTCTGAGCAGAAGTTTTGAGAGTCGGTATTGTTTTCTCTGCCTTTTTCTCTTTTCCCTCTGCCATGAGAACATTGTGTCCCAGATAGGGGCTGCTCCTTCAGCCTGGGTCTTGGAATAAAGGCACACAAATCAGAGCTATAGTTAACCACCAGTGTAAACCATGAAAGAGAAATAAACCTCCTGTAAGCCAGTGGAAGTTTGAAGCCATTAGTTACCACAGCAAAACTGACTAATACAGAAATTCAACTAAAATAAAACTATTAAAATATCACTTTTTACTTCTCAAATTAAAAAGAAGTGTACTTAGGCTGAGAACACAGCACTTTCATACACTGGTACCTCTATGATGTTGGCAGTCCTTATCAAGATTATAAATGCAGATGGCTATAATAAAAAAGATGACCCTGACTGCTATGGCTCAGTTGGTTGAGCATCCTCCCATGCACCAAAGGGTCACCAGTTTGATCCCCAGTCAGGGCACATGCCCAGGTTTCTGGCTTGGTCCCCAGTAGGGGGCATGCAGGAGATAGCTAATTGATTTTTCTCTCTCATGTCAATGTTTCTCTCTTTCTTCTTCCTTCCCCTCTCTAAAATCATAAAACATATTAAAAAAAAAGACAGACTATAACAAGTCTGGCAAGGATGTGGAAAAATTGGAACCCTTATACATTGCTGATGGGAATTTAAAATGGTGTGGGCACTTTGGAAAACAGTTTGACAGTTCCTCAAAAAGTTAAACATAGAATTACCATATGATCCAGTAGTTCCAATAGCAGGTATGTACCAAGAGAATTGAAAACGTATGCTTACACAAAAACTTGTACATTAATATTCAGAGCAGGATTATTCACAATAGCCAAAAAGTAGAAACAACCCATATGTCTATCAATTGGTGAATGGATAAATAAAATGTGGTATATCCATATGATGGGATATTATTTATCCAGAAAAGGGAATGAAGTACTGATATACAACATGGATAAACCTGAAAACATGCTAACAAAAAGAAACCAGTATCAGAAGATCACATATTGTATATTTACATTTATATGAAATGTCCTGAATAGACAAATTCATAAAGGCAGAAAATAGATTAGTGGTTGCCAGGGAAGAAGGGAGTATGAGGAGTGACTACTAATGAGTTTCTTTTTGGGGTGGTGAAAATATTCTGGAATTAGATAGTGATGATAGTTGCAAAATTTTGTTATTATATGAAAAATCACTGTAAAATTTAAAGGAGTATGTTGATAGTATGTAAATTATATCTCAATAAAGCTATTATATTAAAAAATGAGGAAATTCTATATATACTGATATAAGATTACCTATATAGTTAACTGAAGAAAAGCAAGGTGCAGAACTGATTATATGTTATCTTTTGTGTGAAAAGGAAGAAAATAAGAATATGTATTTGCATTTATTAGTATTTGCTTTAAAAACTAAAAGATTAGCCCTGGCCAGTGTGCTGGCTCAGTGGTTAGAGCATAGGCCTGTGCACTGAAGGGTCCCTGGTTCGATTCCCGGTCAAGGGCGAGTGCGGGAGGCAACCAATCCATGTGTCTCTCATGTTGTTTGTCTCTTTCTCTCTCTCTTTGCCCCTCCCTCCCTTCCACTCTCTCTGAAAAAACAATGCCCTCTGGTGAGGATTAACAAAAAATAACAACAAAAAATAAAAGGTTATCTAAGGAACTAATAAAAATGGTTACCTGTGGGGGTGGGGGTGGGAATGGAGCATAGGAAATGGGGCATATGGGGTGGGAATTAGATTTTCCACTATTCATTTATTTTACATATTTTGATTTTTGAATTGCCTGAATATATTGCTTAATTAAAAATTTAAAAAATTTAAAAGAAACAATGAATGCAAAGTTGTAATAATAATAAAAGGGCAACTGCAACTGCAAGTGATCATTGCTATTTATTAATTTAGGCCCAGCGTTGCTAGGTCTTCTGACTTTTCACCAGAAGCTGGAAGTTTCAGTAATACTGACAATTATTTTTAATGTTTTAAAACGTACTGTGTAAGCCAAGCAAAACCTTGTCTGTGGTTGAGAGTTGGTTCACCATCTTCCAGTTGGTGACCCGCACTTTAGACTGTGGACTTCATGAGGGCAGGGCTTCAGTCTTTTGCTCTCCATTGTGCCCCTAGCAGCCACCGAAGTGCTTGGCGCCTACTAGATACTGAATAAATATTGTAGGAAGGAAAGGAGGGAGGAAGGATGGGGCAGGGGAGGGAAGGATCCAGAGTGCAGGAAACAAAAAGTTGAATAAGTTTTGATGACTTTATTTTCTCTAAGAAATTTGAAATGAGAGAGGGAAACGGCGAAGGTTGATAGGTCACTAATTTGAGAGATGTGGGGAAATTTTTAAATAGTTGGTATAGAGAATTGGAGATAGAGCTGAAAATAGAAAAATTATAATGTTGTCAGACAGTCTTAAGCATCCGGTTGAGCATAATCACAGCTGTTTTTTTCCTCTGAAGGTGGAGACTACCTTCTCTTTATTCTGTGATGGAGAAATTTGATGTGAATTGATTCTCTCTCCTTTTGTCTATGACCCTGTTTGAGTTTGTTTTGTTTTATGTCCAGAAGTCTTCATTGTTCCGAAACAATACAGGGTGGGACAAAAGTAGGTTTACTGTTGTGAGTACTTGAAACACAGAGTTTATTTGTGTATTATTACTTATTTATTGTATTATTTTCCACATGAACAACTGTAAACCTACCTTTGCCCAGCCCTGTATTATCTGTCTTTGTGTGGTCATTCAGTGGATGTATTTATTTATTTATTTCAATGAATCAAACAGTATTTATTGACAAAGATTGAGAGTAGGCTCAGTGTGTGCTTTTATTCTGTTTTATAAAGCTATTTTCAGGAGGTTTTTTTCTTCTTTGATTTTTTTTTCCTCTTTTTTTTTTCCTCTTTCTGTAACTTCTATTAGTTGACTATTGGGCCTTTTAGATTGATCTTCTAAAGTTCTTTTTTCTTTTATTGTCCATCTCTTTATATTTTTATCTTTCTGTATGATTTTTTTGGCTTTGTTTTCTTTGTTTAAAAAATATTCATTTATTTATTTAGAGAGGGAAGTGAGAGAGAGAAACATGGATTTGTTGTTCCACTTATTTATGCACTCATTGGTTGATTCTTGTATGTGCCCTGGATCAAACCCACAACCTTGGTGGAGGGGGACAGTGCTTTAACCAACTGAGCTACTTGGCCAGGGCCCCATTTTATTTCTAATTTTTCATTTCAGTTGTCATATTTTTATTTTATTTCTATTTATTTATTTAATTAATCTCCATCACCACTTATTCTCTCTATGCTCTCTTCTACATCCACCCACCCTCAGTTGTCATGTTTTTGAAATCCTAGAGCTGCTGCTGCTTCTCTGAGTGTTCCTTTTTAAGAGCAACCTATTTTTTTTTTTTTATGGATGAAATACCTTTTTGCATTTTTGAGGCTTTCTTCTTCTCCCTGCATTTCTCTTCTTCCACCAAATGCTTTTTTTTAGTTTGTCTGTTTTTACCTCTGCGGTTCTTGTTAGGGGCTTTCTTTAAGTGTGTGATACTCTTTGGCTGTCTGCTCATATTTAAGAGGGAGACACTAGGCATATTGGAGAGCCCAAGGGCATGGATAGGTCATATTGACTTGTGGGCATCACTGACTGAATGGTGTTTTCTCTGGGGCTATTGAGGTCAGTTTCTCTAGAGAGGAATCCCTCCAGTCTCTTGGCCATGGAGGGTTTACCTTTGGCCACTGGTTCTGAATGCTGATTGGGAAAAAGGAGTTGATTCAATATGTAACTTCCTCCTAATCATCTTTAGTACAATGCATCATCCTCTCCTCCTGCTATGCCTAGTGTCCCTAATTCCAGGCCTTCCTATTTCAGTTTCTCTAGGAAACAAACCTGCTTCTTTGGAAGTAGGGGGAGGGGATTCCCTGGCCGAATGGGCAGGGGGGAGAAGAGTGAGGGTCTAAATGTTCCTTATACAAATTTTCATCTAATTTCCATATTTTTAGCTGTGCCCCTCCCTCCTGACTTTCGGGATAGCTAGTGTTTTTAATTCCTGAGCCTCTTTGGGCCTCTGCCCCAAGAACCAGATACTTTCCCATTGGCATAGCCCTCTGCAGACATACTGGTTTTGACTTTATGCCATTTGCTAAACCATGTGCCCCTTTTCATCTGCTTTCATCTTCTACCATTCTTGACAGCTCTTGCCTTTTGTCTTTCTTCTCATTTGCTTTATTCTTCTGGAGTTGAAATTCTACTGATGCAAGTTTAGTGGGGTTTCAGGAAGGAGGAGTGGTAAACATATGTTTTTAATCTGCTGTGTTTAATTGGAATGAGCGCAGAGTCCGTGAATTTATAAGTGATACCAATTTGAATGGTTAGGTGGCTTTCACTAGCGAAATCCAGCAGTCCTGGTGCATCTGGTAAGAGAAGGGCCGGCCAGTTGGATTGGGGTTTTGCCAGGTGCGTTTGGTGGATGGACAGTAGGGCTGGGAGTTAAGGATTTTGGATCAAGAGTGGTTGAAACGATGGAATATACAAACTATGTTGTGTAAGTGAAGGAAAGAAAGATATGAAGGAGTTGATGCTTATAGGAGTTTATGGACTAGAGATCCCATGAAGTCAGAAAAAAACTTGTGACTTGTGAAAAAATCAACATCTCAGCCAGGAGCTAAAAGCACTGTTCCTAGTCCTATTCATGTTTTTTTGCTTTACCATTCTGTATTGTGGGTTAATGTCCTTCTTGCTTTTACAAAGGAAAACTCTTGGCTGGAGGGGCTCTTCCCTCTCTCGGGTACCCGGGACAGGATTCTGTATGGGAAATGAGAGTAGTGATGCCTCACCTTCCTGTTTACCCCTGGAGGAAACTGGAGGGTTCAGAGTTTTCGCCTCCAGGTTTCATTTCTGAGAGGTGACTGACATGGAATGGACGAAGAAGGTGCCAGGTGGAGGTAGCCATGGTCTTTTCTGCAGACCCTCTCTTTAGAGCTTTGGGAAAGCCTCCCTCCAGGTAGGGGTCTCTCTTTCTTCACTGGTCATTTCCTTCTGGCAAACCCCTTGCGACCTGTTTTCTACTGGGCAGAGACAGGAAAGTCTTCCCTTGCCTGCTTGCTGTATCCAAGGGCCTGAGCTCCTATGAACACCAGCAGATGTCTTGGAGAATCTCTCTCTCTTTAAAGCCCTTATTTTCCAGAAACTGAGGTCCTGAGGTATTCTCACTCCTGGCCCAGTGGCCTTCACACTACAGCAAACTCAGTGCCTGAGAGGGCCACGCATGAGGCAATCAAGCGTGATGGTCAGGAGCAGGGCCTTCAGAGCCCGACGCATCTGGCTTCAAGCCCAGCTCAGCCACATGCTGGCTGCGTGATCTGGACAAGTTAAATACATAGTGTCTTTGAAATATCAGTTTCCTCATCTTCGATTTTTGGTAATAAACTTACCCCAAACAGTTGTGAAGATTAGAATAATACAGAGTGTGGCACATAGTGAGTACTTCCTTCATGGTACCTGTTTTTATTAGCCTCCCTTTAGCCTCTCAACCTAAACACCCCGCTGCTGCCGCCTGTCAGGGAAGCGGGTGTGAGCCCTGAGGAAGGATTGACTCCCATTCTGGAGGCTTGGGCCAGCTTCCTTACTTGCCCCAAACTCAGACTACTGAGGAAAAGTTTAAGGGTAGGACCACCAGGGTCCCTTGGACTTTTGTTTTCAACTAGTGTGGGTTCCAGTGGTTATTGACAGTGGATTACATATGAGCAGCCCACTTTAAGGTTCCTCCCTTTCCACATTTTCTTGATCCTCTTGTCCCCTCACCTGGGTTTTTTTTCCAGGCCTTGGTGTTTGCTCTTCTTTCCCTGGCCATCTCTCTGAACCTTCTGTCCCAGGGGCGATGGAGCTGGTTACAACGCTTCAGCTGCACCCTGACTCTCAAATCTGCTTTCCGTTCTAGCATCTCATCAGAGCTCTGGGCCTGACTGCCTCCCATATGAGTATCTGTAGTCCCAGGACACCTCCACTTAGATGAGTACTTTTAAGAAATAACCACTTTGCTTTCAATCCAGCTTCCCCTTTCTGCAGCCCAATTTCTTTCAGGGCCATGATTATTTTTCCAGTCACCCAGGCTTGAAACCCCAGGGTCATCTTTGACTCTTCCTTCTCCAACATAGATCCGTAAGCGTTGAATTCAGTGTAATCTAGTGAGTGGCCAAGGCTGCAGATTCCTCTGTGTGTCCTTTCCTACAGACACCATCCTATTTAAGCGTGGATCACCTCTTGCCTGGTTTATACCAACAGCCTGTTAATTCTTCTGCATCCTGCTGCTATACACTGGTCTGAGAGCATCAATTTCATCATATTTTTTCCTTGACACAGAATCTTTCAGTGACTTCCCATTTTCTGCAGGATAAAATTTAGATTCCTTGGCCTGGCTGCCACTCCAGGCTCCCCATAATCTCGTGCAGCTGTGCTCCTGCATCACTCTTGCAGACCCTCCCTCCAGCCAGCTGGGCCCCTTTGCTGACCTTAGAACAAGCCATACTCATTCCCAGTGTAAGCTCATGGCATTCCTCCCCTATCCCTGCATGCCTCTCTTCCTCCCTTTCACCAATCTCATTTCTCCTGCCCACTTTCAAGATTCAGCTCCAGTCCCACTCTGATCTTCCCATCTTCAGCCTTCATCCATCTTCTCTTTTCCTGAATAACGCTTGGGGTCAGCATCCAGCCATGCCCTGGGTTATAACTGTTGCATCTGTCCTCCCAGTGGGACAGGGAGGCTTTCTCAGTCCTCAGAACCTTGTCATGAATGCAGCTGGTGTTCACTTCAAACAGCCACTCCCTGTTTATTGAGCACCCTCAGCCTGCATGGCACAAGGTTACACTTGTTTAACAAAATGCTTCCTAAACATAACCTCCTTTCCTTCCTGCTCTGGGAGAGGTCTTTAGAAATAGGGACAGTTCTGAAAAGACTGTGGGGCCTGGGATGCAGAGATCGCCCTGAGGCTTTTCTAAACCGTTTCACTTCCACTTGTCATTCTCAGGCTCCCTCCCCCCTCAGTCTCCCCTCCCCTTGCTCCCGTTTCCGTGCCAAACATCTCCCAGGAACCCCACTCTGGGCCCTTTGGTTCAGGTGGGAAGCCCCTCTGCTCCTCTTAACCCTGATGTTAATGTGGCATGTGTTTTTGCCTTTTATCTCATTTCCCCCTTCTTCACGTCAGCGAATGATTATTCAGGGGGCTTAACCTATTGTCCCTATCCCAAGTCTCTGTACATTTTCTGTAGGGCAAGGTCATGAGAGTGATGTCATGGTCATGTGACTGCTGCCTATACCTCACTCCCTCTGCTTCGCTGGTCCTAACATTCTGAAAAGCAAATCGTGTACCCTGCCCCCGCCTCACGGGAACAGACACCTGAGCAGAAGGTATGTCTCTTGTTGCATTAGGTGGGCAGTGGCCACTAGATTTCACCTGCTCAGTGCTAACTGCCTTTTCCCCTCTCACCTGTTTCTACTGACTTTCTCCCCAGAGGCTGGCATTTACCCTTGTTTATACAGTGAAGGCTGGGACTGAGCTGCAGGACTGGGACCTTAGGCCCATTAAGGCGTTAGGGTTCTCGCTGGTTAGGTCCAGGTGACATAGGCTGAGTAGGGACTAACTCCTGCTCTGCTCACAGATTTTATCCTGATGGCTGACTCTAAACCACTCCTCTCCCTTGACTGGGACCCCGTGGCTGCAGAAGCCTTGCTTCGGGATGTGTTTGGAATTATTGTGGATGAAGTCATTTGGAAAGGGACCAGTGCCTCTGAGAAGGTGGGTCCTTTCTCCCTCTTCTTCCTGCCTATCAACCTGGTTCAGAACTTTGCTCCTCCTACAAGACTTCTCCCCAGACTTTATTACCGTCTCACTGGTGCCTCAGGGATTTTATACTGGGTCTTAACTGTGTTTATTTACCCTCATTCATGTGTTACTTTGAAAATAATCCTGACTTGTTGCTTTAAATGCATGTTGGTGGTGTCTTGTGTATACTGAGATGTGGTTTGGGCAGCCGGTCAATAGAGTGTCTAAGGGTCCCCAGAATCTCACGCTGCTTCTCCTAGGTCTGCGAGTGGAAGGAGCCGGAGGAGCTGAAGCAGCTGCTGGATTTGGAGCTGCGGGGCCAGGGGGAGTCACAGGAGCAAATCCTAGAGCGGTGCCAGGCTGTGATCCGCTACAGCGTGAAAACCTGTGGGTCCTGGGTTCTGGTGGGGAGAGGTCTAGAGTTTTTACCCAGCTCCACTCTGAGCCCCCTGTCCCCTTCTCCAGGTCATCCTCGCTTCTTCAACCAGCTCTTCTCAGGGTTGGATCCCCATGCTCTGGCTGGGCGCATTGTCACTGAGAGCCTCAACACCAGCCAGTGAGCCATGCCAAGGGCCCCTTGCATCAGCCCACCAAGGATATGGGTTTGCACAAGACATGCCCCGGGG